GAGTGTTTCTTGTTCATGACTTACTCTCTGGGCCTGGGAAAGTGCCTGTCACATCCAGGCACCGGTCAGACACCTCACAGGTGAACAAAGGAGCCCCAAGTCCAGGTCCTATGGAGCAATGCCGGCAGTGCGAGGGGCACTCACCTGCTTCCGCATCACGTCTGTGGCCTGCATGATGTAGCGCGGGGGCAGCCCGTGGCTCCTGGCCAGGATGATGGCCTGCTCCACCGTCACGCTCAGGGTGCACCTGCGAGCAGAGCAGGGACCCCACCGGTCCCCGTTAGGCACTTCACGACAGCTGGGGTTGTTGCCGCCCCCCAAATCTGCCGCCTTGGAGAACTCCTCCTTTACTCTTGGGTAGCATCGATGTTTACATGATGTATACATGTTAATAAACTTTTGTTTGTTTTTCTCTTGTTAATCTGTCTTTTAATACAGGGGTCTCAGCTAAGAACTCAGGAGGGTAGAGGAAAATCAAATTTTCCTCCCCCTACACTAATTTCAAAATGAAAACGCATCAGGTAGAATCAACACAACTAGACAATGAACCATTAGACTTTCTACATGATACCTGTTTAAAAATACATTATAGAGCTACACCATCGGGGTCCAAAATTAAGTATTTAAATTTCAAACAAACCCATAATGAACGATGTGTATGAGAAAGTTTATACACAGAAAACTAAGTGAGCAGAATTATAATAAATTTTATTACCAGATATTATTCTTTATTGAAATTTTATGTAATTTAAAAAATGACTTCCTAATATTTTTCATTCATACTGATAATAGACTTATAATGATTTATGCTCAATATCTTAGAAAATAAACAGTGAAATTACTATTCACCAAGGTAAGAATTGATTTGAAAAAAGAATGTATTTCTTGGCCTTAATCTACACACTGTGAAATTTTCAAAAGGAAGCTTTAATTAGTTATACAGGAATGTGGTGCCCAGAACAGCCCCGAGAAAATTCAGAATTCAGTCCCTGAATTCAGTGATGGGGAGCCTTCCTCCTTTTCTTTCCCTTTAAGGCATTTCTTTTATGTTCTTTTACATTTGTCTCTCTAGCAGGTCTTAGAGCCTATGTTTAACTATATGTTAATATTTTCAGCTGCTGGTCTCTGAATTGTTTTTTCAGTGGTAATTATTGTACACATTTAATTAAAATGCTCATTAATTTTAGATGTTTTTTCTAAAAATATTAGTGGATATTGTTTTTACTTCATTTTTCAATTTATTAGTATTTTGATTATCTCTTCTCCATGTCTGCATTTACCTGCCTGCCTATGGTTTGAGGTTTTACACATGTATTTTTCTAGATCTCTAGTTTTCCCCTACAAATGAAAGTAAGTTCTATAATGCAATTGCTTATATGTGAGGAATATCTAACCTACTTACTCCAGGTTATGAGGCTGTACTACAGAAGACTAGAATATTTGGTGGATTTTGACACTGATGATTAAGAAAAAGAGAAGTAAGGTATTTAAAATATCAGTGCTGTAATTTCAGAAGGAACCTGACAAAGTGCAATTGCGTTATTAGACATAATTGTATTCTAAGGAGAAACATGCTATGTTTCATTGGCCGTTAAGTGACTTGGAAAGCAGCTTCCTCATTAATATTACAGAGAATTCTTTAGAAAGCACTAGTAACACATATTCCCAAGGCTAAAGTTTTATAATTAGCTTCCAGTAGTGCACAGTGCTTACAAACCTTTAGTGTATGAGTCTGATAACAGTACAGACTGTAGTTTCCCATGCACCTGCATGCTGCAGGACAGTGTATGCTAATGAAAGGCAAGAAATACCATCGACAGTTCATGTGTAAACATCAATTTTTACAAAGCATTTGTTAGGTCACTTGACAGGTCATTCTCCTTTTTTGGGTCTCTTCTACTTCAACTTTAAGTCCTTATTGATCCTAACATTTTAATCAACAATGCTCATTACACCAGCTAAATGAAGCTTTAAAAAAAACCTTTATATTTTTCTAACCACACTGAAATAATGTGTGAAATTTATTTTTCCAGCATATCCAAAAAAGATAGCTTCATTTATACTTGTTTTTCATACTAACCATCAGGTATTCCGATTAGGTCCCAAGATTAATTTGCAATTGTTTGAAAGTGAGACATTTTAAAAGAGACAACTAGGTCAATGTGGGAAATATTGGAAAGAGGTGATGTTTCCAGTGAAGGCTCAGATTTTCCATCACAGCATCACAAGTCCATTTCCTATATTAAGCTTGTGAAAGAAAGCCTAGCCACAAGTCCACAATTTCACTGTGAATATGCCATTATTGGCCTCATAACTTTTTATCTTCTCTCAACTATCTCAATCTGAATGTCCAATGAAAAAACCTCAGCATCTGCAAGAAGCATTTTGATTCTGGCATTGTCTAAAATATTCCAGATCCTGAAGAATGGCACATGGTTTTTCAATGGTGTATGAATGTATACACAGAGTTGGGCTTTATGGGAGAACATCTGCTTTTGTAGGTAGTTCTCTGATTACCAGTGAGACCGATCTGCTAACCCTGGCCATGAAAGTGAAGGGAGCATATGAAAGGCCAGAATCCTAAGCAAGTCCCATTAAGCACTAGATTTCCTGTCTGATCCACCATTTTCCTTTCTACCACGATCTCTGTTCTAACCTTAGACAATTAAAATTTTAATAAATCTATATTTTCACGCCATCCTGGAAAATATGGACCTTCAATTTTTTAGCTCCTTCTAGCTGCCATACCACTTTAAATATTTTAGACAACTATTTTCTTGGGAGTCATACACACACACACAAGGTCATAGTGGAAACTGTCCATTGTAAAAAGGCAAATATAACACAGACATTGAAGAAGGTTGTTTCATAATTTTAGTCATAAGACATTCCAAGTAGTAGTTCTGCTGAGGACATATTGCTGCAAAATTATGCAGAGATCATGAATTTCCCATAGAAAGGAAAAGCAAAAGGTCAATGTATCAGTGCTTATAATGAATAAATCTTCTTGACATATTTCATATTAAAAACAGATTCCACATCATTCAGAAATTTAGCATAGTTTTACTATGATAAATGTGACCTGCAGCTAATTGGTCCAACTTAATTTGACTATGGAAGAGTCACAAAGAAGTCTCTTTCTTTCTTTCCATCCATCCATCCATCCATCCATCCATCCATCCATCCATCCATCCATCCATCCATCCATCCATTATTCATATTGCTAAATTGTATAATGAGTAAAAGTACAAATCACATACTATATTATCTGTTTTAAACAGTTTATGTAAATCAGTAGATAGGGAAAACCACATTATATTAAAAAAAAAAATAGCTCTCTCAGGGTCCAGAGTTTTCTGTAGTCTATTTCTTATAGACCAGACGAGTTAACTTTTGTATTTTTCATACTCCTTGTTCAAACTGTCATGGCCTGTTACTGTGACTTTTTCCCCAGCCTTACTGAAATATAATTGGCATATAACATTGTATAAGTTTAAGGTGCATATGTGTTGATTCGATGCTTATATACTGTATTGCAAAATGATAATATACCATAGCATTAGCTAACACCTGCATGAAGTCACATAATTATCACGTCCTTTTTTGTAGTTCAAACATTTAAGACCTACTCTTTTAGCACCTACTGTGATTTTTAAAACAGTTCTCACAAGATTTCCTCTAAGTAGGATTTATCAGTTTAAACAGCTGCATTTCATATTTCTAACTGATTCACTATCAGAAATACCGATTAAGGTTGAGAAAATGGAGCATTCACTATTGCAGGTCCTGTGGTAGATGCTTTTACATATATTGCTCACTTAAATCCTCACGTTTTTGTGTGTTAATTGTTTTTTTCAGAAAAAAATCATTATTCACATTTCACCAACAAGTCTCTAAGGGACCAGGTGATGTAACCACAGTCACATAGCAAGACACAGGATTCAAAACCAGTTTTCTGATTAAAAATCCAGGTCCCTTTCCATTATTCCAAAATCGTATCACGTAGATGACAGCTTTTAGAGAATTCCAGCTCCCCACATCTATAATTCAACAATCACAATCTTGGCTCAGCTGCATTGTTTTGGGAGAGTTTAATTCAGCCAGCCCAAACCACTTCACTATGAATGTAGACCCCATCATACTAAAATGAATGTGTTCATGATTAAAAAGGAACTAGATGTGAAGCATGTTAAATAAGCATAATGATTGTAAGGCAATCAAGTAGTAAAAATAAACTGAAGGGAGACTGTGTTTCTTCTCTATGACAGATTTGCATTTTTTGGTATAAAATGCACTGTTCTGTGCAGAGAGTGTTCATTCCTGCGGTGATCTCATTTATTCTGGCTTCTAATTACTGTTAACCACTGAGCACAGAGCACCACTGTGAAAGTCACTGTCAACTAGAATGAAGCAGCTGATGGAAGAAACTAATTGTTTAATATCATACGGTTGTACGTCCCCTGCTCCCTTCTATTACCTTACACAGAGGGAGAATGGTACACCTGAGGGCTGATGCAGACAGTTAAGCACCGATCGGTCCTGGAGCGGCTGCTATGCCTACACACAAGCAGAGTGTCTGTGACATTAATATGGAAAGACCACTGCTGACCTATTTGGTCTTTCCCACCTTGGTCACGCTTAGCAATGCATTTGTGACAAATGAAAAGCTTGAGAAAATTGTCACAGGTCCCCAGGGATTTCAAAAATCCAATTCCTGGGTCCTTGATCCCCTGTAACAGAGAGGGCACTTTTCTTAATAAAACACATAAATGTTATTATGTTAACTATAGTCACATTAGATCTCCAGAACTTATTCATCTTGGATAACTGAAATGTTGTACCATTGACTGATATCTCCCCATTTCACCATTTTGCTCTGTTTCTATGAATTTGGCAGAGTAATTAAGATATATACATACTTATATTCTATTGTAAGTAGGATATATTTTGTCTTTCTCCCAGAGCCCCATTATAGCATTTTATTTTTCCTGTTCTAAAGACTAGAACACAATTTTATTTTTTCATTTTTTTGTTTTGATTCATTAATGATTTTATTAGATATCAAACAAATGAGAACAGTTGATTTAATCATAATCAAGTTATAACTGTTAAAGTAAAATAATCAATTAAAATTATAGCTATATATATATATTTTTTAGTTATAGCTATATTTAATTACAATTTTAAATGTCAGCTCTGTCATTGCTATTACTACCCTTATATAAAAGAAGTGTTTCAGACCAATGT